TTTTAAGCATATTTAAACTCTCACACACTTATGCAATGAAGATTTCAGTGTGGGATTTTCCTGCTGAATACCATTTGGTCATTTGGTTTTACTAAGGATTTTCTGTTCAAATGTTGGAGAATTTGATTGAAAAATCCTTCTTAGCCTTCTTAAAGGTAAGTCATATGCTTGTTCTTTAAATAAAAAAGATGTAGGGATTGTCCATTTCCTAAAGAGTAGGAGATGGCACTGCTGGGTAAATACTCCTAAGAAGTTATATAACTAGACAAGAAGTACACGTTGTATTCTTAAAGTCACTTGAATTTATTTTAAAAAGTCCTGTTTGTGTTGTTTCCAAGTTATTCCTCCCATTAGTTTACAGAATATTAAAACCATTCCAATGGCCAATGACATTTCACTTCTTGATGTTTAATGTCTTATTTTTAATCTGTAAATATTTATTTTATTATTTAAATGATTTGCAATCTAGTCTGAATTATGGACATTTCTCATTTTATATTAAGCTCTTTATACATGAAGTTTAAATTATGATAAGGACCACTGTTAATGAAGATTAATGAGATTGTTGTTATAAATGACTTGCCACTCAGGTCAACATGTCTTCTCATATGCTATTGTTAACTACTTATTATTTCATAGGTACTTATCTTGTTTTATTTTTGATCTATAATCAATTACATAATTTTTGATCAGCCTGACTTTGTCTGCATGGTTAAACACAATGTGTACTTTGGATATATGCTTATTAAGCATTTTTTTCTTTAATGAACAAAATTATTGTAATTGTTAATGGAAATGTTCAAGTATATTTTAAATAGTAATCTGAAATTTAATTAGTGTGAATTGACAGAGTAAAAATCAACCAAAGTTAATGTTTTTGGCAATTCAGAAAGCTTATTAGGAATGTTACTGATTTACCATCTTATATAATACCAAGTTTAAAAGATAAAACATTCTAAAGAAATTATCTAAAAGGTTCAATTTACTTATATAAAATAAATTTATAAATAACTGTAAATGGCATAAATTCTCTATAGTAAATCTCATTTTCTGGAATTACCAAGTAGTATGTTGAAAGATTGACATGCATTTCAAAGTCCTTTCCTGTGTGGTTTTAGGTTAGTAATGTCTTTTGAGGTTAACAAAACATTGCTTTAAATATTGGTTCATAAGGAAACCAAAACAAGATATTAAAGTGCTAGAATTACAGGTATGAGTCACTGTGCCAAACCTATATATTCAGTATATATTCAGTATAATTAAGTTGTATTTCATGAACATCAAAATTCTGATACCTCAAGTTAAAATAAACAATGTATATTTACCAGACCAAGCATGTTATTGATCATAGGCAATCACAATCAATATTTTGATATGTTAGCATGGTATGTATTATAAGAGGCATTATTTTATCTACTGGCTTAGAATAGGCAAACGTAGAAAACAACATGCATGTATATTTCAATGTTAAGACAATGTCATCTACTGGTTGTAAAAAAGAAAAAAGTTATGCAGTGTAGTGTTCCTTTGGAGTTTATAAGAGTGTACAAATGTAAAACTGTTTTAATTTACCTGAATCATTATTGAACCAGAATAGTAAACCGGATAGAGAATCATCAGACAACAGTTTAGCCTGCAAGAAACATAATTATAATTAGAGAGGTATTTACACAGAATGTACTATTTTAGAATTTACTTGGAAGTTAAAGGTGCTGTCCTTATTTTTATAAATTTTTTCTGCCCATGTTGGAACACATTTGAATCTGCATGTGGTATGGGTATGTGTTTCCTAAAGGAACTAATTCTAGACTATTTTCTGATTTAATCAAAAGATCTTTCAGTTCATTGGCCCAAGATGTGGCTAAAACTTTCAATTCTTCTAACTAGTAGCTGTTTTCCATTTTCATGATATTTCAATTATATATGCATATATATACACATACATACATATGTATCAGATTTTATTATAATTTAAGTATTTTGAAAATCATTTATTTTTGTATAAGATATACCTGTTCATCAGGTTTTTAAAAAATAATACTTGGCCATTATGAAATAACATCTTACAATTATGGGTGTTTAAAATAACATTTTATGATAGCATTACAAAATAACATTTTGCATGATAGAAATTTTCATACATTATCTTATTTAATTTTATTTACTACTTGCAGCTTTATTTATATATAATAAACTAATTTTAGATGAAATTGAAACTTAGACCTAGAATTGAATCAACATCTCCTGACTTCAAAGCCCAGAATCTTTTTTTTTTTAAAATAGAGATGGTCCCACTTTGTCACCCTCAGTAGAGTGCTATGGCGTCACAGCTCACAGCAACCTCCAGCTTCTAGGCTTAGGTGATTCTCTTGCCTCAGCCTCCCAAGTAGCTGGGACTACAGGTGCTTGCCACAACACCTGGTTATTTTTGTTGTTGTTGTTGTTGCAGTTTGGCTGAGGCCAAGTTCAAACCTGCCACCCTCAGTATATAGGCCGGCACCCTACTCACTGAGCCACAGGCACCGCCCCAAAGCCCAGAATCTTAACCACTGCAAGCCTTATAATGTCTTTCTCTTTATGGTAAAATTTTGGGTATGGAAAAAATAGATATCAAATGGTTCTAGATAACTTTCTTTAAGTCAATAAAATTCTAAGAGAATTATATCCAACTTGTAGTAATCCTTGGCTCATAAATCTCTAAAAGATGAATTTATGTCTAGAAGGATCTTGAGTGTGCAAGATATGATGCCCAATGTATTTACTATACTGAATATCTGAGACCATAATCAAAGCAAGTTTTAACTGTAAGAAGTATACTTCAGTAAAGTATGTTATTTTATATTGCATATATCTATAACATTTTTATATTTTTACCTTTATATATTCTGATGGGATGTAAATGCTCATGTGATAATGTAAATAAGATCTTGATGATCTCCTAATTCAGTGATTAAGAATTCTCTGCAGAACCTTTGGCTTCCTTGTCAATGACTCAGAGCCCCACTGGGGTGTGATTAGAAGGGGAAAGAGAGAATTTCTGCCTTTTCCTTTTTAAATTTTTAATTCATGGTTAGTTTTTTAGAAATGGGGATCCCTGTTACTGAGGCTGGTCTCCAACTTCTGGCCTTATTGATCCTTCCACCTCAGCCTCCCAAAATGCTGGGATTACAGATGTGAGCCAACATGCCTCATTATACTTAACCACTCCCCTAACTTTTTTTTTTTAGCTGTCTTTATATATTGGTAATATGTGTAAACTTTAACTTGAATGGGGAATTCTATCTCTAAACACAAGTTTATGAAGACTGACATAGTAACCTGTTTTCCTATGCTGAAACATAATCAGATAAATGACTGACTTGCACCCTTTTCTACTGCTTTGGATTTGAATCTACATCTGGTTCATGTCTAGAGAACCACGGGTCTGTAAACACACATAGTGTAGGGTGAGAATGTGCAAACAATTTACTTAATTTTGAAAGCTAACTTCTATCCTCATATTTAACCCCTGATTGGTCATTATTTGGAGTTATTAGTCATCTCTAATAACTTCAAAACCTGCTTTAAGAGCAGATGCTGTCTTGTTTACTGAGGAAGGCTTTGTGTATTCAGTGAATGACAATGAAAACCAGCGTTATGTAGTTTTCTATCTTAAGAAAAAGTAGAAAGAGGGCTTAGAGGTACAGTAGAAAATTACAGATGTTTACTATTCAGGTCTGACACTCAGTTATGGTATAAGTAATGTGGAAATCCAAAACCTCCCCAAATTTTATAGTTCACTCCCCAGCCTCTGTTACCTATGGGGTAAGCCTTTGCTGGGTGGAGTTTCCCAGGGAACACAGGGAAACATACATGGGAATAATTATAGATTCTCTGGGGACTTGCTTTAATGTTCTGGTCTATTTATTGGTGAGGCTTCTCATAGCCCAGCCTTCAGCAGGCTTTATAATAAAAATGAAAAATAAACAAATTTTAAAAGATTACATCTCTGTTTCTACCAGGTTCTCAGTATAGTGGAAGGGTATTTTGCTTGAAAGATCATTATAGAAATACTCAGTTAATTTGACAAGCCCCTCCTTTACCAAAGAAAGTTCTATTGTTTCTCCCTCTTTAAAAGACAGCCCAGAGGGATAGGATCCACTCATGATTTCTACCAAAGGAATATACTAATAATAGATAAACTGGATTTAAGAGAGTTGATTTAGCTTTAGAATCAAGAAAAGTATGTGATTAGTGGCACCCCAAACATGCATTTTTATTTTCCCTTTCTTATTTATACAAGTCTCAATAAATACTTTTCCCTTCTGTATCGATGATTATTTTTGGCTTTGTAAATTTGCGTACTTCAAACAGAAATTAAATTATGACAGATACAATATTAATGTCTTACCTATTTTCTTATAAAGGAAAATAACAATGTGTAAAAAATAAAATTTAACTCAAAATTAGCTAATGAAATTAATTACCAAATATAATACATTAAGAAAGACTGATTCCTATATTAAGACAACCAAGGAGGCAAGACCCAAGTTCTCATGCTCTAAAGGACTAAATATGCTGGAAGGGTGGAGACACTTTCCTTCTGCAGATAATTATGGGCGGAGAAACTATTGAATAGACTGTGCTACATAACCTGAACTTTTCCCTGATGTATTCAGTTCATGGTGCACTTAATATGTTTGGCTCTTTGCCTCAGGCAAATAACACAAACTATAATATCATAGTATGCAGCAAAATGATAAATTATAGTAAAATACTTCATTATTTGTGATGACAAAAGCTCACTCATAATAAATGAATCAAATAGCTTGCCTATTCTTAGGAAAAAATGTAGAAACATACCTCAAGGTAATAAGAGTGAATCAGTTGAAAAAGTCTATTTCTCCCTCTCTCTTGCTCTTAAAATATCAGTGCACAAATGAAATGATATTAGACTGGCACTTGTAGCTTTGTCTATGTGTCATCCCAGACCAGTGTTAGACTAACAACTCTCTAACCACATCATTGGACAAATTACTCAATGCTTCTGTTTTCTAATGAAATTAACTCAACATCAGTGGGATGTGTACCCTATTTCACTTCAGTTTTAAGTTTGAATGCATAGAGGTAGGTAGCAGCCAGGCCTGTCTATTGCTCAAACTATCTGTACTCCAAGTCCAGAGAAGACAGACACTTAGTTTCTACATCTAGAGAGGGAGACAGCAGAGAACATTTGCTGTTCTCTGGGTTCCCTACTGGGCACTCTTGGAACTCTTTGCCCCTCATAGGAACTCCTGCTTGTAATGCATGAAGCTACTTGAAGAATGATTGTAAAATATGCCAGATGGGTTCACACTAGATTATAGCAGATAATCTGAAAAGGGCATATTCATGCTCATATATCTGTTTTAATAGCAATAGATTGTTATGTATTTGTTTTCCTTTATTAAATCATAATTGTGTACATTGATGCACTTATAGGGTACAATGTGAAATGTTTACATTGAACTGATTAACACAACCTCCCAATCCCCCTCCTCTTTCCTCCTCCTTTCTGGACTATAGTTATATTTTCACATTCATATGAATGTGTAGGTGATTATAGACTGATTTCATAGTAGTACTGAGTATACTGCATACTAAAAACACTAATTTTTAGTGAAGTTTATAAACTAACTTTCTAAAATAGATAACTTGATCTTTGTGTTGCATATTTTTAAAATTAATTCATATATTCACAAAACCAGAATTTGACACTGGGGATTTCCTGCTGCATTTTTTAACAGGCTCTTAACACCATAGGATTCTGCAGAGGTTCTGCCTAGAGCTTCCTAAAGGGGGGAAAGAAGAGTGTGGGCAGGAGTCAGAAGACCAAGTTAGGAAAGAGTCTCTGCTCTGTAGTCAGACTCATTTTGCTTATTGATCTTCCGTGTACAAACTGAAGCGAAGAAGTAATCCATCTGCTTAAATTAAAAACTGATGTCATCTCAGGATGTTATTTTACACATAAGGAAGCTGGGGTATAGAGATATTGAATAGCTTATCCACCGTCACCTAGCAAGATAACGGCAAATCAATCTTTGGTTCAGTCTCAAGACTTCTAATCTCAATTGCATGGACCCATGTTGGAAATGCTTTTGTATAATTTACAAATAAGAGTTGGGGGATGGTGTATGAAATTGGCATTCAGCAAACTGTTGTGTACTTAATAAGCAGCATAGAGAATACAGAATGGTATTCTCTATTCAGCAATTACTATGATTTCCTAAAAGATTGTGTTTCAAGAATTATTTGAAGTGCTCCTCAATTATCCTTCGTAGAGGAAATTCCATTCGGTAATGTCCTGCCCTTATCATTAACATTCAATCACTTGTTCCATTGCGTTTTGACAATCCTGGTTGAAGCCATAGGAGGTCACAGCTTACTTGATTTCAGGAAACAGGGAAAACTGTTCTTCCCACTACACCTCCAAACGGTTAATAAAATGTCAGTACAGACCCACTTTCTCAATGAGACCTAAAATTACACAGTAAAAATAAATCATTTAGCCTTATGTGTTTTCCTTTACATTGAAAATTTATAAAACTAATGAAATACTCAAGCTTCTACATCACCAAGACCTTGGAGTTGGTTTCTTCCTATGATTTGTAGTGGAAGTATCCCAGGTGTATGTCGGTAAAGAGAAATCCCAACGGGCAAGAAAGAGAACCTGAATAAATAAATTTCCCAGGAAAGAATTTTCTTTTTTTTTTTCTGAGACAGAGTCTCATTTTGTTGCCCGTGGGTAGAGTGCCATGGCATCCCAGCTCACAACAACCTCAAACTCCTGGGCTCAAGTGATTCTCTTCCCTCAGCCTCCCAAGTATCTGGGACTACAGGCACCCACCACAACGCCCAGTTATTTTTAGAGATGAGGTCTCACTCGGGCTCAGACTGATCTCAAACCCATGAGCTCAGGCGATCCACCCACCTCAGCCTCCTAGAGTGAGGAAACATTTTTAACTTTTATCTTTCTTCATTCTGGGAAACAATCTTATTTTTGTAACTATGTCAACAATATTTCTGAAACCTAAATGGTTCCTCCAGAGAATAAAATTGTTAGACTGGTACTTTATTTCAACAAAATTGTATAGGCAAAACCTGAAACCAGAACCAAGCATAATTTTTATTATTTAACTTAAGAAAACGACAGAAATATTCTGTGTGTGCCCCTCTTTTTGTCTGTAGTCCTATTTCTGTTGGTGGGTATGATTTCCTTAGCCATGGGTGTTTTACAGTACAGAATATTTGTTAATAAGCCACAAAGCACATTCTATCAATATCAAGGTCAACCCCATTTTTTGAAAAAGTGATAATAATATGACAAAAAAAGCTCAAATATTTTTGAACATTAGTCATAAATAATAAATTCATATTGGTTTTATTACAACTGATTCACTTCAGCCATATATTACCTTCTCCCAATCTTTATATAACAACCACATACTATATAAAGACACTAAAAATTATATTGACTAAAATATAACACAAACTACTTGATTGTTAACAGAAGTGGCAAAAAATCAATTGCATATGCTAAAACAATATTAAATATGTTTTAAAAAGTTTGAGATTAGTAAAAAGCAATGTATATTTCTTAAACAAGACATCCTCTGTATTATATATTTTCTTCAGATTAATTAGAACTAGATTCTATTCAAAAGTCATTAACAATAAAAATGAAAATAAAATACTCTTCTTTAAAAGAATTCAGTGTTTTAAACACTGTTTACAGGATAAAAAACTCAGGCATGAATTCACTATTCATGAAAAGATTTTCTTTGGACAGTCATTATAATTATGGTGGTCTGAGCGAGTAGCCTGGTATTAATTTCTGACAATATATTTTTTTCTACTTAATCTTTTTTTTTTTTTTTAACAGCTAGCTTTTGAATGATTGGAAGAATTGATCCTTTCTGGGACTCACCAGTTCATTTCCTGTAAAATTCATGCCTTGCTGTTATTAATTCATGAATAAGGTATAGTAAAGAGAACACCTCTTACTGTACTTGCTTAGCATTTAGATGAGGAAGACACCAGTCCATCCACATCTGTTTGCAGGAGAATTTCAGATAGAGTATGGATGTTTGGGTGAGGCCAGTTAGAGGGCGGGGGTGCAAGTAAGTGTTCCATGTCCCAGGCTAGGGGAAGACAGATAAGGGTGAGAGTTCTTGGATAAGAGTTCAGTATGTTAATCATCCATAGAAAGATAATTTAAAGTAGAACTCTGAAGAAATTCAAATATGACACCATTACTTCTCCCACTGGTAGGCCAAAAAAAGGTGGGGAGGGGGCGAGGAAGACCCAGGAAGTCATTTGGCAAAACCAGAAGAAAAGCATTCATTTATTGATACTGGCAAAAGGATCTGTTGCCAGTGCATGTCCCTTTGCACTTTGATCTTTTTGTACTGATATTTAAGCTTCTGTTTTATGATCTCTTTCCAATGATAGAACCAGACCTCGTAGAAACCACCTTAATCATATCTTAGTGTGAAGCTTTAATTTGTCTCCTGAACGAGAAAAATGGGCTGTGATCGAAATTGTGGGCTCATTGCTGGGGCAGTCATTGGTGCAGTGCTGGCTGTGTTTGGAGGAATCCTGATGCCAGTTGGAGACATGATTATTCAGAAGACAATTAAAAAGGTACAAATGATCCAAAGAATAGTTTTTGTTATTCTGATTTATTTTATCTTTTGTCTCTTTTTTCCTTTGGGTACCTGGTTTATAGTTCTTAATCACTGGCAGGGTGTGTTGTGGACCCAAAGGTAATTATGAACCACTGCAGGTCTCTATGACAGAGAAGTGATGATGTGGGAGATGTTACATGTATAATACATATTTAACATGGGTATACTGCTATAATATGGGGATATTTAATTTGTGATAAAAGGTATCTATAAGTACTCAAGGTACAAATGTTTTTTTAATTATATACAAAGAGTATATTGGCTTGCTTTTAAATAAGAAATAAGTGAACATATTTTGTGAGGTTATATTTATATATGTAGTTGTATTCCAGTTAATACTGAGAAAAGTAAAATCAAATATATGGGTATATATGTGAGTGTGTGTGTATGTATATTAAATATTGTGTTTGTATTAAAACAGCAATCTTTCGTAAACTGTTATAGTTTGTATTTTGCTTTGAATACACTGCTTTATGTAACATATGTAATTACCTGATTATCTCTAAATAGTTCCTGATTATTAAGCTTTATATTTGACTCTTAGAAAATGCTTTTAGAAATATATAAGGCAAATATCAGTATATAAGAAATTGACCATAGTCAGGCTTTGCACAACAATCTAGAATTTTACTGTAACCCTAGTTCGTTCTACTTAAGCTACACATTCAATTTCAGAGACTTTAATTGATAGAAGGAGGCAAAAATAGGGCAAGCACGTCTGCTGTATTCTTAAGCCAAGAGTGGCACAGTCAAATGGCTTTAGGAGTTGGAGACAGGGATGAAACAAAATTGAAGGTGTCAATAAAAAGACAAAATGAAGATCAGTAGGCCCTCCACAGTTGATCACCTCCTTGTATTGACCATCTCCTTAAGTACTTTTCATAGACTGGACCTACACCACATGTAAGCATTAGTATAATAGGCCTACTTCCTTATATTGACCAGTTTGTTACAACCCCTTGAGGGGTCTACTTACAGAGGTTCATGCGTGTACCTGCATGTAAATTGAATGGTATACCTGCCTTAGAATCCCCAGTTTTCTTGATAGCATTTTTAATACAGGGTAGACATAAAGTTTGTGTGAAATTTACTATGTAGAGGCCAATTAAGAGAGACAGATGATGGAGGGAAGGCTCGTCCAACAGTGAGATGGACTTGCCATTGCTCCAATATCCTTTCTGCTCTGTAAACTGTGCTTCCCATCTGGATCTTCTAGGGAGAAAGGACCAGATCAGTGTGTAGGTTAACACTTTGTTTTTAAGCAAAAAATTCATAGTATTCTCACAGTAAACAGAAATTTAAAATGACTATTTTATATAATTAATGATCAATACCTGAGTATTGATCATTTAATTTTTTTTCTTTGTCTTGAAACAAAATTAGTACATATAAACTCTCTCAAATGGCATGTGAAGAACTAAAATCTATTTTTATTCCTTAATATGTATCTCTTCTATAATAATCATGAGAAAGAAGGCATCAAGGTGGTTTTTGTATAATGACTAAGAGAATAAAATAAATTATTTTAACAAGTGTAAGACATAAGCAGAGCAAGGTATATTGTAATTAAAAATACAGAGACAGTGAGACTCTAGAACTAAAATTGAAAGATAAATGTTATTTAGAAAGAGGATATCTCTGAAAATTCAAGGGGAACTTCAGGAATAAGATGGTACCTGAGTGGAGTTTAAAGAAGTACACAACTTTGGAAGTCCATGACATTTATTTGCATATAACTTCAATAACAAATGAGAGTTAAAAACACGGTTTCAAGAAATAGCAGGTGAGCACATATAACTTTTTTCCTCCAGCCCAATTTAGTATCAGCATAGTTTACTCTTCTTGCCAAATACAAATTCCCATTATAGTTTGTTACATAAATTCTTGGTGTCTAATTTCTGGGTTTCAGGAACCTATTATAGTTAACTTCCTCATTTCATCAAAGTTTATTCTTGGTTTTAGTTGATAATAATAATCTGCGAATAAAGCCCTTTTGTGACTCTCAGTACAACTGTCACTAATATTTAATTTATTCTCTTAAATTCCACCTGCATGCAATGCATAAGGATGTAAGAATATTTTTAAGCATGGGGAAATTGTTCTCTTTAGGACCAGTTACATGCGAATTATAATAGTGGATGTGAATAATGGAGGCTATGTCCAATATGCTGCTATTTAAGGAAGTTTTATTTTGCTGGAGAGAGAATAAATAAAAAAATGATTTTAAATAGCAGAAAAAGAACTATCACAAGAAATTACATTAGTTATATGAACAAGACTGTACAGACAGCAAGTGCTATGAGGCAAGCAGTGAAAGCAGTGTGTGGGATAAATGATATCAGAGGTCTTCCTCTAGAGGGTGGGACAAAATAATTTTTAAAAAAACAAGGATAAGATTTACAAAATACTAATAGGTGGCACTTACTGAATGGTTTCTTTGTCCTAACACTGTTCTAAGTGCTCAGATGTATTAATCCTTATAACAACCTATGGGGATCAATTTTTAATTAAACCATATGAAAATTCCAAAATTCAACATTCTGACTTTCAAAAATACCAAGTTTATATTACTATTATTATACTCATTTCATGGATAACGAAACTGAGGCATAAGAACAAAAAGAACAGAAAAGTACAATATTCACTAAAGAAACTAAATTAACCTGCTCAAAGCTCAAATGATCCTATGACCAAACTGATGATCAAACGCATAGCATCAAATATTGTTAACCACTTCACTCTGTGCTTGGTTAGGGTGTGAATAAGATAAAAACGTCTGTTTCAGAGATTAGAATATGCTAAACATGATTCTGTCTCCTATTAATATTTCATAAGGTCCTTGAGAGATGAGACAATGCTTTCTATATTTGCGCTTTTCCTTCTCCATGAACAGGAAGATAACAAGGGCATTTTAACAATTACACTTACGTTGCCAGTCGTGCGGATGATCACTATTTTTATGCAAGAGTATTAACTAAGAAAGTATATGACTATATGGAAAATATTACTGTCAAAAATATCTGTTTTCAAATTAATGTAGCAGAATAGAAGTTTCAAGGTCAATGCCTTCCAAGCCAGTCACTGGTAGACCAAACTGTATGAGAGACTCAAGGTCAGAGGCCAGCTGTCACTGGGGTTAGGTAGTAAATAGAGATGCACACATGAATCAGGGGAGAGGATCTTCAATTATGTCACTTTTCTGTACATGGAATTATCAGCATCGCACTTCAGACTTAGTGAAATATTTGAAAAATAGACTAAATAGTCCAAGTCCAAATTAAAACCAAGCCCTATTAAATTTGCAAAGGATATTAAGATCTTTTGGTTCTTTTAAAATTAGAGAAACTTGTAACATGCTTAGTCTTGGTACTCAAGGAGTGTTTATATAATTTTCTAATGCAGACAGTAGTGTTAACATCAGAAACATTAATTCCTGTTTAAACTACTTTGATATTATCTCTTTGACTCTGAACAAAATATGGGGTACAATTAAAGTGAAAAGAAACAATTTCCTCATTAGATCTACGCAATTTGTTACATGCCGTAGACACAGACATCTCTCTTTTTCCTCAAAAACCCATTTTTATTTATTTATTCAGACTACTATGAGAATACAAATGATTAGGTTATGTTGTTTATGTTTCGCAGGTAAAGTTCAAGTTTTAGTTGAGCTCTTCATTCAGAGGTGTGCTATATACCCTTACCTTGTGACCATTAGACCAGAGTTTACCAGTCCTCTCCCTCTGCCCTCTATCCTTTCTCTCCTCCCATCTCCCCTCCCCCACTGGGATATATTTGTGTTTTTTGTTGGTATGTATTTGGTTTTCTATTGGTTTCATATTCGTCCTGAGTACACTGGATACTTGCATTTACAGTCTTGTGGTATTTTACTAAGAAGAATGTGTTTCAACTCCATCCAGGTACAAAATATGTTAAGTTGCCCTTTTATGAATGAATAGTATTTCATGGTATGCATATTCCACAATTCATTAATCCATTCATATGTGTTGATGGACACTTGGGATGACACCAAGTCTTGGCGATTGTGACTTGATCTGCAATAAACATTTTAGTGCAAAATGTCCTTATGGTAAAATGATTTTTTTTTTCTTCTGAGTAGATACCTAGTAATGGGATGGTGGGATTCTCCATACTTCTTTCCATAGAGGCTGTGTTAGTTTGCAATCCCATCAGCTGTGTAGAAGTGCTCCCTTCTCTCCACATTTACGCCAGTATCTGCAGCTTTGGGAACATGTGATGTGGCCTATAGTCACTGACGAATCCATTTTATACTTCTGAAAAATTATTTTACAGATTCAAATAATTAATAATTTAGTGCATCCATTTCATATCTTTGTGTTTCAACAGTGCTTTTTTTTGGCCTAGATATTTTAAATGAAAAAAAGATTGATAGGTTTAGAAAAAGGCATAATACGCTTACAATGTCTTGTGGTATTGGGATAGACACTCATTGCTAGGCATCCTGACCTGTCAAGCACATTCTATTATAGATTGCTTTCAATTGTATAAGCATTTATTGAGTTCCTTTATTAACATCTGAAAGTATGTAACTTGAGAGGAACTTTACAAAGAAAAGATATTTATCCTTAAGATTCTTATCATGTGAGAATAGCTGTGTGTGTGTGTGTACAGATGCCTTCGTGTGTGTTTTCCTTTCAAAATGTCTCTGGAAGTGGGTAAATCATCACATTTTCACCTTTGTCACCTGTGTGTGCACCAGCATAGCTTTCAGTGTCCACAGCCTCATCAAACACTTTTACAATGAGAAGAGCAGCCATAAAACTTGAAGCAATCTTTTTTTAATGTCTGAATTGTTAGCGTGGAAATAAGTTCTGTGGGGAGCAAATAAAAGTTTTTTGAGGATAATTTGTTGCTAAAAGTAAGAGGTTCCAATATCACGCTCACAGGTCCAGTGTACCCAGGGTAAGCGGATTGCAACAGCACAGGGTTGTGTAATTCCATTTTAACTAAGTGCCTAGTCCTTCTCTAAGGAATTCCCTTATTCTCTGTATTTAGCAATAGGTAAAACATCCTGAAAATATGAAACTTAATTTGATTTCTACCAACTGAGTGCAGAGGGTGACAGGGAAAAAAAGAGAAAAGAAACAGCTATAGTTTGGTATAAGAGAGGACTGGTCTAAGGGTCAAGGCAAGGATTTCAGGACAATTTCCCTACCATTTTGCCCAGGCTACCCTAAGACAGCCACCGGTTTCTCAGAGCCTCAGTGTGCTCCTTTAGAAAATGTGACAATAAAAAAAAAAAAAAGAAAGAAAATGTGACAATAGTCAATGTCCTTTCCTACTCTACTACTCTGAAATGATGTTCCAGATAAATGAAATGAATAGGCCATATTGAGCTTGGGGTCATGGCTCTCTGTAGTCTCAAGTTCTGAGAAAGTAGCCTTCTTCTTCTTCCTCTAGCATGTTAAGATTGAGCTGGAACTTTTTAACCTGGGCATTCTTCCCAAAGAGCTTGGGAAATATTGCCCGCTACAAAAGTCACCTTTGTGTGCACTAGTTACTATGGCTTTGTAGACTTCTGGCTCCGAATGAGAGCCGCAGTACGAATATGGAGTAACGTCTATAGCAACTGTCTCATGTTACAGATAATAAAATTGACCCTGAAGGGTTTGGTGACTTTCTATGTTATCCCAAAGCTCTGAAAGTAAGGACTCCAACTCTTACATAGGGTTTTTAATTCTGTCATTGGTATTGGTTGATCACAGGGCATCAGCAATTTGTACTGAATTTCATAAGGGAATCACAGGGCAGCTTCCTTACCTTGTCCTTTTGTTTAAAAAGTAGTAACCCAATAATTATAAATCCAGCTGTTCTAATTTCTGGAAACACATCGCCAAAGAATTCCTGCAAATACATTGAGAGTTAGAGAAGTCATATTGAACAGGATTTCAAAGGGGGAGAATTCAATTTGTTTTTGTCATTTATATGCTTTTGTTTAATAAATATAATTATCCTCTTAAATGTCCAACTCTTGAACAGGGAAAGCTTCCAATACTGCTAGGTTTTAATCTCAGTTTTTTTTCTATTTTGCCTCCTCAATCCAACTCAGAAGTACGAGTTAACATTCAACCTGATAAGAACTTTTTGGAACAACTTTCACAAAATACGGACTGTTGCAATATTGCAAAAGGGGCACTCTAAAGCTTGCCAATGGTTTGCCTTAAAATAAACAGTCACGTCTTCAGTATTACACACTGATTCTCTTTGTAAAAGGTTAACTAAAAGAGGTTGCTATAAAAATCTGATGAGAACTCTTGTACTTGCAAGCGTGACAGGTTACAAAAGTTCTCGTGAACCAGGTACTTGCACTTGGCCCTTTTATTCTGGCTGTAGGTTAGGAACAAACTCTAAGAAGTGCCTGTATTCACTATAAAGAAATAACCCTAACATGTTTTCTTTTTCATAGGAAGTTGTCCTTGAAGAAGGTACAATTGCTTTTCAAAATTGGGTTAAAACAGGAACAGAAGTGTACAGACAGTTTTGGATCTTTGATGTGCAAAACCCAGAGGAAGTGAGAGTGAACAGCAGCAACATTAAAGTTAAGCAAAAAGGCCCCTACACGTACAGGTGAGTCCCCACAGACAAGTGGCAGATTCAGCATAAATGATGTGAAACTTAGATATTCCTGAGAATGATTTCACTTGACAAGTGCTGTTGTATGGAAGTGTACTTACTATTTTCTTGCCAATGGTATACCTTGGAATTATTCTTCTATAGGTATAGCATCCTAATCCAAGGATTTCAAGAATAGAATATATTTATTTTGAATAAATAATTACTGAAATATTAGACAACATATAGGGAAAAATAAATATATCATAATAAATTTCAAGTAACATTCCTGTGCCTAAGAATTTACATGTGTTTTGTACATGAGGTATATATACTCAACTCTGAAATATGCATGTCGAACAGAGAGAAAAGCTGTCTTTAACATCTTAAAATTAAATATAGACATTATTTTGGTGTTTCTTAAAGTGCAGCTCTTGGAGCAGTAGCCTTTGTATCACCAAAGAACATCTAAATGAATCTCCAGGTCATACAAACATTTGCATTCATCTAGGAGTTTTATTCCTGTCTTTTCTCTAATCTACATTACCTAATAGGTGACTAGAACTAGAAGACATGATTAGCCAGAATCTGTTAGATCTTAGGTGACTTATTCCTGTTCACAGAGATGTAGAGAATAGTACCTGTTCCATTTTTGTATACATTTTCGATTTAAATTACAGACAATGTCTTTTCTGGTTATTAAAGTAAAATGCAAACTGGAGTGCTAAAAACACGACCTTAACCAAGGACTTACTTAAATCCACCTATCTCATTTAGAGATAGTTATCCAGATATAACTAGAATAAACACTCATTATATACAATGATTAATTATCACAAAATTTCATATTTGCAATGATTTATTGTAATTCACAGTTCTAGTATCCAGTATCTCTTTTGGAGATTCTATGATTATATTTTGTTCTTCCCTCTACAACACGTGAAAATGTTTCTAGATGGACGACTCACACCCAAAGTTTAGTTATAATCACAGCAGTCATGTGAGAGTAGTGCCTATCCGTATAGCAGATGGTCTATACGCTACAGAGGCCTTGGTGATCCTGCCCTGGCAGTTTTCCCCATGTCTCCTGCCTTTTGTCCACATCTATGACTATTCATAACTCTGTAAAACAAGACTTGGTTTTCGTTGTTACAAGAAAAGCCTTACCTTGGAAAATGTTTTCTTCCTGGGCTTATGTTTCATATGTTCTTAGCAAAATCCTATACTAATATCTTATTTGTATGTATGAAAATCTAGAACTCACATGTGACCTAATGAGAATCTGACCATGACTATTTAAAAATTAGAACCTTAATGAACTAAAAATGAAAAAAAAGTAGGTTTTAGAAGTAGGGAGTTCATATTTTCTGGGTGTCTTATTTTTAACTTATTGTGGGGAGGTTATATTTTCTATTTTTGAGGATATTGTTTGGGATTTAAAGGGATATAAACATTAAATGATTTAACCTCATTCTCTGATTGTTGGCAGCAAATATCTGTTTTATTCTGAGAGCCTTTAACCTATCTCTCTAAGGGACAAAAAGGGGGTTGGTTAGATATACTTAATTTGCTAAGGGAGGTGATGGAAGTGGTGTGGGAGAAAATGACTTGTATTTACGGATAAATTTTATAAACAATAAACTCCTCTTTATATAAAAACATTAAAACTATTCCGAACCAACCGGTCCTTTTTTCTCATGGTATCACCAAACAGAGTCTTTTATGTTTGCCCAAATACCATAAATAATGTAAAAACTGGTTTCCTTTTAGAAACAAGGTAATACTTTGATAGTCTTCTCTGTGTTGGGATAAACATGCTTCCCTATAATTAAAGATACCCTAAACCCAGTTTATCTGGTTTACTGCTGTTAAAGACAGTTTGATGAAACTTTGACAAGATATGACATGAGGCAAAGCATGAAATTCCCTGGATTGAGAACCTACATATATTCCAACCTGTACCATTTCTAGAAGGCACTGTGATGCCTTTGGAATATTCTCAGATATAACATAAATTATTATTATTATTTTTAATAGAGACAGAGTCTCACTTTATTGCCCTCAGTGGAGTTCCATGGTGTCACACAGCCCACAGCAACCTCCAACTCCTGGGCTTACTTAGGTGATTCTCTTGCCTCAGACTCCGAGTAGCTGGGATTACAGGGGTTTGCCAGAATGCCCGGCTAGCATAAATTATTTTTTAATCTACTTTGCTTTGCCAGGACAAAAGTAATCTTGAGAAGACTTTAGGAAAAATTCCTTCTCTTGAAGTTTTTAACCAACACTTCCCCAAACGTGTATGCAATGTAATTTTTACAGAAACAAACAAATAAAACTGATAATGTTTTTTTCCTAAGTACAATCAAAAGACAGGGCTCAGGTTTAAGGATTTTTTTTTTCTCTAGGTGAGTGCCATCTCCTGGTTTCACCTTGTAAGTACAATTTAGGTAAGCTCTAGAATAGGGCCACAATTATTTTGCTGTTGTTTTAATTATTATATATGCATAAATCATGAAAATTAAAATCTTAAATGTTAATATTATGTACTCCAGTTTTATAATGGTCATTTGAGTGGAAAGGTATTGTTCGTCTTTGATTATCCTGGTTGCTGTTTCAGATTTTCATATTTTTTGTATGTCTACAGAACTCTAAGAGAATAATGATATTTTCATTAAATTATATTAAAAATAAAATATCTTTCAGCATTACTTTGAATGTTATTTTATAGAAAAAATCAGTAATGTATTTATTTATGAAATGTATTTATTGGAAATCACTATGTCTAAGGAACTGTGCTCAGAGACATAAAATACTCAACCCTTAGAAATTTACAGGTTTACTGTAGTTTAGTAAATTTCCGTCCCTCTTTTTTTGTCTCTCGTTATCTATTCACCTTGCATAACTGATGTTTAATATATGTGAGCACAATGACGCTGTATACCTTATTTCTTCTCGGTGAATATCTTCTACTTGCAAAATATTTCCCCATAATAACCACCCCTTCCCACATTCCTAAAATATAGTTGGTACTTTTCAACCTAGAGATGTTAGAGCCAGGAGCTTGGAAGTAATTGAATATAGGGAGAGGGGGAAAAGGAGGGATGTAGCCCTTAGGAATAAAAATTATATTCTAATTTTTGTTAAAGATCTAAAAAAGATAGACGAGCCTGCAATGGAGAGTCTGTAAACTTGGAGGATTTTTCTTATATAAGGAAATACGCTCTTACTATTTCCTCATTAAGCCTCATTCCTTTTTCCTCTTACCTGCAGGATAATATCTGTCACTTGAGAGTGCGATATGACCCTTCTATGTTTGAAATCTTTATTTTCCACCACTCTCCTTATAGCTCAGTCGATAATCCAATCAATCCGATCTCATTTCCCAAAATGTATAATGCCATTCTTATATCACACATGACATTGCCTGACCACGCTTTTCTTTGCTATTCATACCATTGATGTGGAATGGCTACAGGTGGTGTCGTGGCCATCTTCTCCACCCTGATCACCCCAAACCTGAACCTTGTGTATTGGTGTCTGTTTTGGGCTTTTCTGTGATTTATGTGTAAACTCTCATTTTAACATATATCACCTCTCCTCTGCTATTTTAATTTTCTGTTTACAAGTTTGAAATCCATTTTGATTAATCTGTGAAAGACCTAGTACTGAATTATTTAACAACATTATTTAGCATAATTTCTGAAATATTCCATGTGTTCAAATATTTGTTGAATGAATGAATGGCATTTGAGATCTAATGTCCACAGGAGTCAATCTTTTTGAATTATGTTTACTTCTGTTTTGTCCAGAGTTCGTTATCTAGCCAAGGAAAATGTAACCCAGGACCCTGAGGACCACATAGTCTCTTTCCTGCAGCCCAATGCTGCCATCTTTGAACCTTCACTATCCATTGGACCTGAGACTGACACGTTCACAGTTCTCAACCTGGCTGTAGCTGTGAGTAGACAAACCACAGAGTTACCTGTTTTAAAATGCTCTAGAATTCACTGTAATTATCTCATCAATATAATTATTAGGTTTCACTTATTTTGCCATTTTTTAAAAAAAGGTATTCCTCTGTCATTATTTTCACTGCGGCTATAGTCATTTGGAAAGATGACAAAATCATAATAGTCAATTGAATTCAAATACTGCCTAAAGTGTATCAATCAAAAGAAATAGGGTTTAATTTGAGATGTCTTCTCATGGTTGGCATTGAGGCAGAGACATGTAGTCATCTAGGGATTAGACAAAGTACACTTTTTGTTTTGGCAGTACTTTGCAGGAATTTTAAAGATGTAGGTATAAAATTTTAATGAAACTCAATTTTATTATTTAATCCATATGATATCATATCGGTGTCTTAAACAGTGATTCGATTTTGTTTTCGCAGGCTGCACCCCATATCTATCAGAATTCATTTGTTCAAATGGTACTCAATACACTTATCAATAAGTCAAAATCTTCTATGTTCCAAAGAAGAACTTTGAAAGAACTGTTATGGGGCTATACGGATCCATTTTTGAGTTTGGTTCCATACCCTGTTCCTACCACAGTTGGTGTGTTTTATCCTGTAAGTACTAAATATAAATGGCAATATTGTTGTATTCCAATTAGATAAATGACATGGCATTGGCCAAGCATAATTTTATCATTTAGTGCATTGGCCCTACTGCTGATCTGGAGATACGTATCTGACATGTACCCTACCTTTGTAAAAAACATCCACATCACAGATGGCTTAAACCTTCCTAGTTGGAAAACTCATTTGAATTTAATAATTATATTTAAAATTAAAAACTGGATATAATCAGATTTCCATTCTTTTATAAATATACAATTTTTCCAAAATTTACTTGTAAGCTACTATGTAAAACTTTGAACACTATTTTTGGTTTTGATTTCCCTTTCTCCATAATCAAGTTCAATATTATATTAGTATTTGTGTTAAATGTATTTATCCTATAATTCCTTCTTCTATAGACCTTTTTATAAATTACTCTTAATTTATATAAAAAAGTGAGGCTAAATTTGCACATCTCAATTGTACTATAAGTCAGTAGGCCTCATCTTAATGGCATTTTAAAATAAGAATTTCCAAGAGTCCATATATGTCATGTAATGGAGGTTTGAAGATTAAGAAGAATGTACAATTTATGGTCCACTTAATTATAGGTTAATGTTTTGAATTACAGATATGATAAGCTGACTATTGAGTTGGAATTTTGACTGTGATTTCCTTTGGCACTATATGTGACTATTAGTAGTAGTATTCAATTCGTTGTTATTGTTTTACTTTTAGATAATGTTTAGGATTGCAAGGTTTATATCAATTAAATGAATAAGAAGCATAGATCTGAATCAGTAATAATTTTAGCTCAATACTCATCACTTTTTCCTTGGCCAAATTTTAATTTTATATACTCATTCTTTTCATTTTAGTAGCCACATAAAGATCATATCATTTCAAATATTCAAATCATTGTTCTTATAGGTTTTGTTCAGTGTCCCCTCACCTCAATATAATGGGTGTAATGACCAAATTATCTTATTAGCTTAATTATGACAAAGAGTGTTGGAGTAAACTTTGATCATGTGAACTTCTGAAATTTATTTCAGCATTTAGCACTTTTTTCTAAAAGTGCTTTTTTTATAGTATATCCTTTAAAATATTTTAAAAGTCAATAATTTTAAACCTTTATGTAAAATAATTATAAAGAGGCAGTGTTCAGAAAATGTGTAGACCAGGTGGGGTGGCTCATGCCTGTAATCCTAGCACTCAGGGGGGCTGAGATGGGTGGATTACCTGAGCTCACGAGTTTGAGATCAGCCTGAGCCAGAGCCAGACCACGTCTCTAAAAATAGCTGGGGCATTACTCAGGAGGCTGAAGCAACAGATCACTTGAGCCCAAGATTTTTAGGTTGCTATGAGCTGTGACATAACGGTACTCTACTTAGGGTGAAAGAGTGAGACTGTGTCTCAAAAAAAAATAAATAAATAAAGGAAGGGAGGGAGGGAGGGAGGGAGGAATGAAGAAAAGAAGGATTAAAAACAAAATGTGAAAGAGAATTATGAAAAATATGACTTGTTATAGAAGTAACTTTTTCTTCTACATATCTTTTCAGTACAACAATACTGCTGATGGAGTTTATAGAGTTTTCAATGGGAAGGATGACATAAGCAAAGTCGGCATAATTGACACTTATAAAGGTAGAAGGTACGTATCTGGGTACAGTGTGTGTGTGTGTTACGAAGGCAGGAATAGATTGTCTAACAACTGATAAAGCCCAGAAACCAACCAATGGCACAAACTTGCTGGCTTCGAGCCCTGTTCTGAAAGGCATCAACACTTCAGTTTTGGCGACTAGCATCTTAACCCCAGTAAAGAGCCTCTGAATACCGCCCCATTTTAGGGTTGGGTTTACGTTTACAGACAAATCTAAAGGGACTATTTTCATCTTTGTTGCACATCCAGCCTTACAGTAGGCACATACAAATAGGTAGCCACAAATAGAGAAGAAGAACATCAGTAAATCCGGTGACTGTCCTGCAGATAGATTTTTTTTTTTACTTTTGTAACAGAGTATACAAATAAAATTGTATATTCCAGTGACATGACTTCGATGTACCTCTAAAGGTGGAAGTTTCTATGATTGCTTTCATGACTTCTCCCTGAAAACAGCCTTAAAATAATGATCTATACTGATAACTCAGTTTTAATCTTTTTAATGTAAAATGGAACTAGTGTTTTAACTAGTTCTAAATAATTCTAAAATTTACATATAAAATGTGAAAATAATGTGCCATTTTTAAGTTAGTGAAAGTGCACATTAGCTTCTTAAAGTCATTATTTCCTTTCTTTCCTGGTTCTACCTGTTGATCTGAAGGATTCATAATTTATCATACGTGTAAAATAGCAACAACCCCAATAAATACCGGGGGAGAAAGCCTTTTCTTTAAAGTTAACAATTATGCACTAGAATTGCTATTTCCTGAGAAAGGATAATCAAAACTAATAGAAATAAAATTTTTTATTTTGTGCCATAACTATTAGAATAGTTATTTCCTGAGAATGGATAATCAAAACTGATAGAAATGAAATGTTTTTATTAATATGTTATTTCCTGAAAAAGGGTAATTAAAACGGATAGAAATGAAATGTTTTTATTAACAGTGTCTCAAACCAAGTCTTTATTAATTGCACATAAGAGTTAATTATTCACTAGTAGACTACTTTTTTCTTCTAAAGAGTCTATAATTACTAATGTTTGTAGAAAAGTCAAATGGAGGAAAATGAATACTTCTAAGTCTTTATTTCAGAGGAAATCACATCAATTCTTTATACTAAACACAATGAACACTTCACTCCCTTTCAATACTATAGAAATCATAAAGGGAGTTGCTAAGCAGTCCTAGTTAGAGTAAGAATGTCCAGTCACTTTAGGATCACGGGAAGGTTGGTTTAACTCACCATCGCAATACTTAGCATGATTAACAGCTAATTCTGCTTAAAACAAGCAACAGCTTGACTTGACACTGGATAATGATAAAAGTGAAAAAAACAGTTTATACATCATTGGAATGGGGCTGAAGATGTAGGAAAAGTATTAATATCATTCTTTACTTCTAGATATTATATATCTTATTTATATACCAAAGCCTAACTAATAAAATCTGCCCTACTTAAATGTCAGCCCATGCAAGAATTAAAAGGGAGGAAATGTACATTGGTTGATTATCAACATGTTTTGAATCTGAATTGATCCAAATTTCTGTTTATTTTTGACTTCCTTCCCATGTCCCTGTTTGACCCTATACTGAGCTTACATCAATCCCGTTAAGGCGTTCCTATGTCTCATTTCTCCCACTGGAGGGGGGAGGAAACAAAACAAGAACACTTCCTTAAGTAAATATCTAAATTTCTCATAAATGTTTTTAAATTGTTTTCTCCCAAGTTTCTTTCTTTCTTTTTTTTAAAATTTCAGAATATTAGAGGGGTACACACATTTTGGTTACTTAATTTGCTTTGGTGCATTTTTATTTTATGATCTAGTCATATAATATCAGGCTTTATTACAATAAGATAAAATGTTCAAACAAAACATGAACCAAATTAACGAGAATATTTTTTAAACTTAGCACTTGCCCAATTTAATCTTCATTATATTAGAAGTATTGAATCATAATGGAAAAGATAATAGGAGAAAGGAGCTCTTGAAATGGGAACGGTTAGCTCATTTTCTTTCTTTTTCTTCCTAAGGAATCTCTCCTTTTGGGAAAGTTATTGTGACATGATTAATGGTACAGGTAAGGACATTTTCTTTGTAGTAATAATAACAATGAACCTACCTCTTTTTCTCCCCCAAATTCCCCACTGACGGTGTTCTGAAAGTTGAGGGTATGTACTTCACAGTTTTTATAGTCCCACAACATAATTCAGAGTCTATTTTATAAAAGCTTGGTAAATATTTAATGTGATAGGATTGCTATCACAATCCTTTATTAACTATAAAGAATTCATTCTTACAGCATTAATAGGGAAATGTTTGCTTTCTGAAGTCTTTACTTAATGAACTGCCATCCTAGAAACAGAAGTAATGGTTGCAGAGAACAACTTGGAGAAGTCCTATTCAAATCTTTTGTAAATATTTTAGGTATAACAACTTAGAATTAAAATAATAGAAATAAAAAAATAATTACAAAAGAAAAAGCACACTGATACCCAGAAATTGTCTGGCCTAAGTCTGGTTACTTGCCACCTAGAAAGCCAATTAGTGAACCAAGGAGCAAAGGAATTTTTGAAACAAAAGATGTCAGTCAGGAGAAGGTGAAGTGGAAGCAGCCTCAAATCCATCTTTTGACTAAAAGAGTGTACGGTTTTTTAAACAAGGAGGCCCATGCTTTGGGGCAGGTTAGTGAGGAGCAATGAGGCTGGGCATCAGGAAGCCCATGCAGGGGACCTCAGAATCTCAACTCCTCTGTTTGGCATAAATTCTATAATTTGGAGTAAACTACTCAAAAAGGATAAGTAGTTAAAAGTTGCAGGGTTCTGATCATCAAGCCCTACAGGATTTTGAATGTAAAACATGATGGAGAAGATTGTTTAAAAAATAGAAGAATAATTGTAATGTGTTCATGGAGCAGGTTACCATACTTCTCAATGTGGTCTAAAGCCAAGGTGGAATCAGTGAAGTTGTAAGAAGGAACCATCTAGTTTGGATAAGAAGATGAGAAAGAAAGACTAGATTTTCACTAACCATTAAAAATAAGCATTCTAAATTAGAATCAAGGAAACAAAGAACTGTAAACGTACTCAGGGGATGGTTAGACCTGGTTGATAATTCTCCTTGAAGAAAAGGGACATTGACTTATGCCTGTTGAAGAATTGAGATTTTAAAAAGCTTGGAAATCAAATACCATGAGGTAATTAAAATTAAAGGTGAGCTTTCAGCTACTAAGGAACAGCATAAAGTTTGAAAGTTGAAAAGATACTATAAAAATGAAAAAATTAAAAGGAAGCATGGAGAATGTTCACTTTCCAAAGGTACGATTGAGTTTTGCATGATTATTTAACTAGATTACTGTATTATACGGCAAGAGGCAGCAAAAACAATGCTGGATTTGCTTTTTAGGGTTTTGAGTTATAGATGGGTAGGTGAAATTTCTTCTTAATTAAAGCATTTCTAAAAATAAATTTTCAAGCCCTCAGTATTACTAACTCCAGTGGTTTCATAAGTTTGAAAAACTTAGTCCTTAGACTAAGAGAAAAAAATGTACTGTGCTGCTCTTACGTAGTAAAGGATTCTCTGGGGTCAGGGTGAAAAAGAAAAAATCATTAGATGATTCTACCCAAAGCTAAGAAGTAGATCAGTTTAATAAGAGGCTTAAATAAGGACAATAATAAAAATGTATGCACATCAGGCATGAAGTAAAAAATATCTAAGAGGAAAATACAAATAAAACAAACTAGAAACAGGGGGTTGGATAGGACAGAGAGGTTTCCCGTCAGAGATTCTTAGTTACAGTAGTAGGGAAAAGAGTACTGGAGAGTTCTAATGCATATTCATCATGAGAAATGGAAGTTCATTCTTTACTTCCAATAAGTTTGAAAAGACATAAAATGAAAGTGTTACGGGATCTTTCCACCAGGTCCTTGTTCTCCAAAACTCACAGACTGTATTTACGGACCACTGTGAGTAAGCAAAAGGATAGATTTTATTGCTAGATAAGAGAAGAAGGAAGACAAAGTTTCTGGCACAGTGGAGGGGGGTTCCCATTGGGTAGCTCATTTGTGCTTTCTGTCTAGGAGTTTATATGAAGCTTCTCATACCCTGCAGGTAGGAGGGTTTGAGAAGATGGAATGTATGTTTAAAATATGGCACAGCCCTTGGTGCCAGAAGCCTGTGGGCAGAAGTTAATTTTCAAACTGGCATGGTGTAGGAACACAATTCTGCTTGGGGCATTCCACTCCTCCCCAGGTGGTAGCTTAGACAGAACTTTGATCAAACTGGTTTATGAGCCTGTTTGACCCCAGAAAATAGGGTCTGTGTTCAGCCCTAGGTGAAGAGGACCTGCATCAAAAGTACAGCAGGATATCTGTAAGCTGACTATTTAAGGGACTATAACAAACTGGTCAACATAAGGAACTAGCCCTACTGTTCTGATAAGTGCATGAGGTGCATGTCTGGTCTATGGAAATTAGGTCAACTTGAGGTAGTTAATGTAGGCAGTGGCTCAACAGTGGGAGTTCTACTCTATTGATAAACATTTAGAATGTTTCTTTTGGTGAGGGGAAAGAAAGCCCTGATAATGTCAGCTATTCTATGGTCATTGTTTTTGATAGTTTGGGGTTATAATTATGACATACTCTTCAATGATACTTCAGATAATCATTTTTTTTAAATTTTTCACTGTGTTTTTCTTTAATTCTTAAGGTACGTGGAAGGCAGTTGTAGACAATGCCCAAAGATCTTTTAAATAAGGAATTTAAGACTCTGAATATCCAACTTTCTTAATAGCAGGATCAAGCAGGGAACATAATCACTGGTGGTGTATTATATTTCACTTCTCAGACGTGTGCAGATGAAGATAAGATCACAAAGTAGAAACATTTGCCCACAAAAGAGCCTGGGATGGAGAATTTTAAATAAGCACATTCAGTAATGGCTCACAAATGTATCTTAATACCATCAAAGATACCTCCTCACTCATTTGAGTGAAAGGAGGAGTTAACCAGTTGTTTCTTCCTATATCCAATGTGTGCCATAAGTGAGGGCTGTAGCGGAAAATAAATGGCTCCTTGGATTTGATGGAAGTATTTTCAAAGCATTTGCAGGAAATAGTTTAGTGAGAAAAGTTCAGTAAATAAGTTTAAAAATATTAATCAGTATTTAGGGCAGATAGGCGAATCACTATTAAAAAGAATGTGGATATGGCAGGAATTGTAAAAGGTCTTAATTATAAAAATACTGCTACTCTACTTATGAGGTGGGTCATTCCAAAATTCACAAATACAGCTTTAACATATGACATTACCATTTCTTAAAAGTTTATTTTATACCAGTAAATGTGTATTATGTGCAAATGTTGAATGTGATATCTGCTAGACATATGTAGCTATAACACACTCGAGATGTGTCTAGTATGACTGACACGCATGATAAGCATAAAATACACACTGGATTTTGAGAATGTACAATACCCTAACTTTTTAATGCTTATATGTTGAAATTATGTTTAGGTGTATGAGGTTAAATGTAGCTGTTTTTAAAAGGTGATCACTCTGTAAATTTTAGATTATTTAGTTGGCTTGCCTTCTATGTCTACTGACCATGCTTGAATTGAAATCTCTAGATTTTTCTAGAACACACTTCTAATCCTTCCCACTGACTTGTTAAACAGATGCAGCCTCATTTCCACCTTTTGTTGAGAAGTCTCGAGTATTGCAATTCTTTTCTTCTGACATTTGCAGGTAAGACAAAGACATTGAGGTATGTCTGTGATTCTGATCTTTCCCCCCGCCAAGTGCTAAGGAGTGACATTTCTGGATTTCTTAAAAATAAATACAATAATATAGAATTAATGTTTATTTACTCTTTCTATATCCTTCAACTTTTTAATAATGCAAATCATTTTCTTTGCCATTTTTAAGAAAGTGCTGATTTGCCCTTTTCTTACTAAACTAGGAGCCTATTTGGTAAGAATCAGGTCTAGAAAGGCACACTCGGTCTTTCTAAAGATGTTCAGAAAGGATGATGGAAATGTTACCAACTGTGAAAATTGACAAGCTCTAATCAAATTGGGGGAAGGAGAAGCCCAGCAGTTACCTCAGAAGTATTAGAGGCTTTGTCACTGCCCCCGAGTCCCAGCGCTATCACTAAAGACTGTGACTGTGGGCAAACATTTAATCTCCCTGGATCTTTCCTTTCTCTATAAAATTGCAGAGAGCAGCCTTTCTTCATACACTGACATCTGGGGATTGGAAGAAATGTGCATTAGGCCCTAGGACATTGCCTGGGTTATGGTGGAGACTTGGGAGGTGACAGAGGGGAACAAAGTATGTGTCAAGCACTCACCAACCTCAGCAAGGGCCCAGCCTTTCATTTCAGGATTAAGTCATAAAAGATGGAAACTTTACTTTTCATTTCATTAAATCTATGCATGAAGGATATGAGGACATTCAGAAATATTTAGTCTGTAGCAGAAATTGACTATAAGAAGAGATATCAGTATAAATATGCCATAGTCTTTCATAAGCTTTTGACAACAATGGTTAGAATGATTCACACATACGTATGAATCCTTGTATGTGTTTAAATTTCACAACAACTTTTTGCTAACAAACAAGATTGAAAATTCTAACCAGAGTACCCAAGTTTTCAATGATAAAGTAAGAATATAAGAAAAATATCAATCTCCAGAATGTAGTTCAGGCTCCTGAAAGGCAGTTCTTTTTTGTGTTTTCTCTGTATAGGTCAATCTATGCTGTATTTGAATCTGACATTAATCTGAAAGGAATTCCTGTGTATAGATTTGTTCTTCCATCCAAGGCCTTTGCATCCCCCCTTCAAAATCCAGACAACCATTGTTTTTGCACAGAAAAAATTATCTCTAAAAACTGTACATTGTATGGTGTGCTAGACATCGGCAAATGCAAAGAAGGTGAGTAAATATTCTCAGTTCACAGTCCAAGACATCATTTGCAATATTTTTAAAAATAGAACCTTTACCTGGAATCCAAACTTTAAAGCAAGAAAGCAATCAGAGCAAAACGTAAGGGTGGTGGCAGAAAATTTGTGTTAATTTTATATTGTCTCAGTGTTTCAAATTTTAGTTACCAGGTAAAACCCCACTCGTTTTTCTCTGTGCAGTTCTTAGGAATAAGTGAAAATAATTTCTAGAACACTTCCAATATCCCTACTTATTCATTTGCCATGGCTTCAACTTTTTCCTTAGAAAATAGTAAATATTTTCAATAGGTCTCTACAACAAGAATTGACTAAGACACAAAATATGAACTCTGTTTTATCTTACCTCTATTCATCATGCTATAAAGAGAGTGTTTAGGAAAACTCTAAGAAATTCTTAGTTCACAGACATATTACTGCTTGAAATGCAAATGTGTTTAGTGAAAACTTTATATTCAGCAGCTAAATTTTATATAGTGAAAGTTGACACCTACAGGATGTAGTAGACATCAACTAGCTTGTTCGTAGGATGCAGAATTTTAATTTTGTACACTAGTGACCAGATGGAAGGATGCTCCCCCACCCTATGTCCCAACCATTTTTTCAAAACCAGTGCTGTATGTTTACTTAAAAAGCTTCATTTTTAAGGAAATGTTTTCTGAGTGAAGTCAGGAAAGTTATTTATCCCCTAGATGACTCTTAAAACTTGTCTTCAGGAAAACCCGTGTACATTTCACTCCCTCATTTTCTACATGCAAGTCCTGATGTTTCAGAACCGATTGAAGGCTTAAACCCAAATGAGGAAGAACATAGGACATACTTGGATGTTGAACCTGTAAGCAAATATATTATCGATCTGCTTTGGTTGATATTTTTTAAGAAATGAAATTGAAAGAACAATACATGTTTAGTTGTACTAACTGCCCTAATTCATTGAATCAGGTTTTGTGTCAGAAAACACTGTATTCACTTCTTCATAGGATTGCTTATGAAATATGAACAATATTAAATTAAAATTTTAATACATAGAATTCTGTAAGCCTTCTTAATAATTGTTAATATCATTTTAATTGGCTTTCAATAATTTTATATAAATTATTTTATGCTCTACTCAAGAGATATTGCTAATATAAGGAATCATCATATATTATGTGTGATTAAAAGATTTTATAAGAATTTGGGGCATAATTTATTGTAGTTTGTATTAAAATGTATAACATTGTTACAGCATAACAGTTATATTCTTTAAATTACTTTTCTATTTTTATTTTCAAAATTTGAATGCAGTTCCAGAATTCTGGACGTGTTTCATTTAAATACCGATAGTTAAATGGTATTATAACTGAAGATACATGTATTCTGAATGAACATATGTTTGTATATGTATCATTCAGGAATTAAATTAACTACCTGGGCTCTTATGTTTTGTAGGTACTATTATTTCATTAAAACCATTTCACATAAACCACAAAAATAAGACCATAACATTAAGTTGGGCAAAGAAATTGTGTGTGTGTATGCATAGATATCTCTGTGTATATATATATGAAATGTAATTATATATGGAGTTAATGTATGTAATGTAATTCACAGGTCTAGTTAATTAACTCCTACGTGTTTTATAAGTATCCTGTTTAAGTTCTGTAGTCTTTCTCTTGTGCTGTAACAGGAAGTTTTAGATATTATAAACTAAATAGTTGTTCTCTTTTAGATAACTGGATTCACTTTACAATTTGCCAAACGGCTACAGGTCAACATATTGGTCAAGCCAGCAAAAAAAATTGAGTGAGTCTTTTAAATAAGGTTATCTTTATAAGATGTATAGCATTTTCTGTAAGAGTGTGAGTAAGTCTACGAAGGGGAAAAGAATATCAATTTTCAACTTTCCTTTAGCTTAGTATCACTAAGCTCTAATTATTAAATGCTTATAAAATGCTTATGCTCCATATTCACCTGCAAGATCGAGTGTTTATTGAAACGGTACTTGCATGTACTTTGGAATGATGTTTATTTGAGCATTTGGTAGCATCTGTCATTTTGTTAGCTGCCTACATCTTTCCATAACAATAAATTTTTATTCTTAGAAAAAAATCAATATAATTAGGAATCTGTATATTAGAAAGATTTATTAAAAGCAAAAGAAGCCTGAGAAATAGTTATCTTAAAATTTAAATGATTCATGAACAGGGAACAAAATCAAGAACTTAGCCAATTTGGAGCATATATTTATACCTGTGCTATGAACATTTTAATAATTACTAGTATAAATGAATTAGTTGATATTTTCATAATTTTCAATGTGTATTACAGAGTACTAAAGCGTCTGAAGAGGAACTATCTTGTGCCTATTCTGTGGCTTAATGAGGTTAGTATTAAACTAGTCATGAAAACAAACATCTACTGGAAAAAGATCTCAATAGTTCCAAAGTATGGATAGTATTTGAAGTGTATGTGTTTCCATTGCCCACATAGACAAGATTATACCTATGTAAAATATGTTTTCAGTTTTTTCTTTTTTAAAAAGAAAATCCTATCATTTAGGATTCTCTTCAAAATGCATCTATTAATCACTTTTTCTTGACATAGAGGTCATCTTAGGGAAGGGGCACCTGCCTGCAACAGCAAGTAAATCATATTGAATGTTCTAGTGACTATTATGGCACTAATAAAAGCCAACTATGCATATCAAGGCCAGGTCAGAGTAGGTCTAGGAAGGCTATCCTATTTCCTGACAAGATATTTTTAGTGTAAGCTATTGCATTGATTAGCCACAGGAAGAGAGTTGAAAGAACAGTGAATGACACTGTTGGATCTTACTGTTTTCCTCTGTCACGGGGAAACATCTTAGATAATAGCTCAGTAGATCAGGGGAGTCCCATTACAATGAAGAGTGTTACATGGCATATTTACATATTTCACACTCTAAATACTCTATCTGGCATTTATTGCCACCTTTGACTTGCATAAGGAATTCCATTGACTAGACTTACAGAAGACGGAGGTCTATATAAGTATTAGAGAAATGAGTGATTATACATATTATTAGATTGATAGTGAATAATATGTATCATGGTAATTATTCATTTGCTTACAGACTGGGACCATTGGTGATGAGAAGGCTGAAATGTTCAGAAATAAAGTGACTGGAAAGATCGGCCTCCTTGGCCTTATTGAAATGGTCTTACTCGGTGTCGGTGTGGTGATGTTTGTTGCTTTTATGATTTCCTACTGTGCATGCAGATCAAAAAGAGTAAAATAAGTGAGTAAATACAAAAAAGATATTGCTTCAGTAATATTGGCTTATATATTACTTGTTTTCATTTTATCAAAGTGGTGTTTTACATTAGTCCATAAAGGTTCTGAACGTTTGAATGAGTAAATAAGGTCTATGAATGTCAAGCAGATCACTCAATTGCATCTGTAATTCTGAGGGGATTGAAATATAAAGTTTAACTGTGACCATTTTAAAATTATCATACAGATAACGTTTGTCCAAAATTTTAACCTATTCATTTCTTAGTCATATAGCTAGTTATTTAAAAATCAGATATTTAATATATCACTGACTGTATGGATTGAAATTAAAGACATTCAATAAGTTAGGAATTAATGATGAGACTTAACATAAAAGAAAAGCATGACATTTAAGAAAATAGTGAAGTGAAATAAATTACAAAACAGGATTGCTGCATTTAGACCTGCTGGCCCTACAGTCTCCAAATCCAGGACCTGTACCTTAGAAGTTTAATGGGAAGACCTAATGAATAATTAATAAGCTTTACCTAAAATCTGAATATATTGACACAAGAAAATAGGAGAAAACAGCTTTCAACACAGTAAGGCAAAAATGTGGATAAGATTTAAGACTCTGGAAAAAAAAGGGGTCAGGCCTCTGTGCTTTGGATATTAATTCTCCCCACCCCCCCCACACACACACATAAACAGGAATGGTTCTCTGACTTTCTCTTCTCTAAATAAAGGCTTTTATTTGGTTATCACGATGACACTAGTGTAGCATGTGGGGGAGAATTTTTCACTTTCTCCATCATTTCCATCAGCACTCCCTTTCATACTCTTGGAAAAAAGCAAAAAACAAACATGCAATATAAATAAAAGCAGTACACTTGCTAAAAAACAAAATCACAACTTCAAAATACCTCTTTTCTACTTCCAGTCCGACTGGTGACCTCCAGCTCTTTTGTTTAGAAACTCAGGAGCTGCCCCTGATGCTTATAACTAACATTTATTGAGATTTTATTATGTGATCGAATCATACTAACATTTTACATGATTTATCTTATTTTATCCCTAATAAAATTTCTCAAATTTCTAAGAATCTGGGTTCATCAGCATCACTCTGTCTTCTAGGAACATTCCACAAAATCAAATTTTAAAAGAGATAAAATAGTTTATTTCCAAGGTATAAATCAGATAAATTGATGGCTTTAAAAAGTGGAATTTGGGAAAATAATTCCTTTTTTGTGATATTGATAGTTTGTATCGAGGTAGGCAACCCAATTTTGTGTTATGATTATTTCTGCCACTGTTCATTTGCTAAAAAGAAGACTGAATAATTTTATCAACAATTTATTTAAACAGAATATTTTCAAAATGCTAACTCATGTCACAATAAAGGAAATATCTCACTACAGTTAATACTTGCCCAATAGGTGGGATTTTTACAAATTAACAATGAAACTTAACACAAAAGATATTCAATCCCTGGAAGTAAAAATAGGCTGTACGCCTTTAAATGGAAGGTGATCTGAAGGCTGTAGACATGCTGGTCCAAAGCAGATTTCATTAGCTACCAACCCATGTGTGATGCGTGCTGTTCTTGAGAGTTGGAAGAAGCCCCCTGTGTGTGCTTTTTGAATGAAAATATCCATTGCCTTACTGGGAAAGTCCACCAGAGCACTGCTCTCTGCAGCTTGAGAAACTGGGCTGAATCATATCTATCTAAGGTCCTATACTTTAAAACTAGCATCTGTTGTTTCATTTCACTCTTCTCTGATAAATAATAACATCTCTTCTGCTTTACAGGCAGCATATGAATGTTTACATCGATGCACCAGCTACGTTAGGATCTACGGTGGTATCAATGGACAAATTGAAGATTCAATATGTTTTCTTTTTACAAACAGCACCTTATCTTTTAGTTGAAGAAATGGAAATGGTGGCGTTATTTTTTTGCACTCAGCATCACATTTCAAAAGGATTATCAAGAGGTTATTCAAATTCACGAGCAAAACCCAGAAACTTTCAAATGCATCATTGCCACAATTTAATTGACTTCAGTTTCAACAGACTGGCTCAAGCACGAACAAATATTCTTGTGCCAAGGCACTAACCAGCAGAGGAGTGGGGTGTTTTGAGCAGATTCTAAGACTGTCTTCCTCAGTAGGGGGAAGTGTCCACCCGGTAGCATCTCTGTGCAGTTGCAGCAGACAGTCCCCAAGGCTGTCAGTACTTGATGAACATCAAATATCTTGAAGGATGTTTAAGAATAAAAAAAAAAAAAATGATTGGCTAATAAACTAGAATACCTTAAGTTTCTTTATCTATGGTATACTCTGTATAGCAACAGCAGGCATCATTTCTTTGTAAAAATATGGGCTTATGTTTTGCCACCGATCATGCAAATGGACATCATTTTTAGTACTTTGTCATTTTCCACGTTCTGCAACTCTTTTGAAAATCTGAGTACATTTTGATGTTTCTACTCAGTTACAATTTATGCTTGGCAACCTCAGAATGCTGTTCTAGCATTAAGAGATGTAAATGATAATAAAGGAATTATTGTATGGAACATTACAAAGAGTAATACTTGTCTGTTTTCGTATTTCTTACTTTCAAAGTCATCGCAGAAAGATGGGTTTCAACCTTTAAAAGGTGTTCTTTCTTCAATGTGTGTGCTTTATCTAGTTCCTGCTGTGTCACAAAATAGCCTAATTTTACATCTGACATCTTTCATCTGACTTCGTATTTCTTTAAAATGCATTGTTCTTTCTAAAACATATTTTCTAAATTCAATTTGGGCCACTTTATTACAGGCGAAATTTGTTTAAGGTGATTGGAGAAATAGCAAAGAAAGACATTGGGTTTCATCCTTTACAGCAGCAAAAAAGAGACACATTAAGGTAATCTGACTTTCTTTAGCTGGTTCACCTTTTTGCAGAGAGCATTAGTTCTCCTAGAAGTCTCTGGCATAGAAAAGGAAAACTAACTTCTGTCTTTTGTTTTATACACAGAAGGATACAGTACACCAAAGGAGTAACTGGCCCATTTGGATACTAAAATGAAATATAAATTCGCCTTCTCACTGTGGCTACTAGAGTAACTTGAAAATCTTTACTGACAATTGTAAACCAAAATACCGTGCTGGAGGAATCTTTTGAATTTCTGAAGATACTTGACACATACTAAGTAATGCCTGGGAGGCATAAATAACATCTCTCTAAGATACTGGCATGTAAGATAAAAGTTGGACTTTAGGACATTTGTGGCCATGTCCATGGAAGACAAATAGAAAGGAAATTCTTTAATTCTTAAGATTATGGAAGGCAGAGCTATAGAAAGTTGAAACTCTTAAAAAGCAATGGATGAGAAAATACATGTTGAATTCCTGTATATCATGACCATAACCTTGTAATTATGACAGGTTATGACTGAAGTTTTAATGTCTTATTTTTATTTTTATTTTTTTGCGGTTTTTGGCCAGGGCTGGGTTTGAACCCACCACCTCAGGCATATGGGGCTGGCACCCTACTCGTTTGAGCCACAGGCACCACCCTGTCTTCTTATAATAAGGATCTAATGGCATTTTGACTCATATTTGTCTTTATTGTTATGCAACTAAATATATGTATATTACAATCTTACTCATTCTTCAAAATTTCTTTTGCCGAATTCTATAAAAAGGGAGAGACAATTCATATACCAAGTGATAAAGATTGTATTGAAAATGTCCAATAGGGAAAAATAATTCTTTAAAGAATAGGAGTTTTTTATACGAAAAATCGGAATTTGGATGTTGGTGTGTCCTACACGTTTGCTATTGTGGGAGTGAGACATTGTTTTACCAGGGTGAAAATGTACATCGGTCAGAGAAGGTGTTTGAACACTGCAATTGCTTGTGGTCAAGTTTATGTGATTTGTCCATAGAAAAATTGCACCATTTGGGAGAGAAGCATAATCTCGTTTCAAATTATAGCTGCTATTTATAACGTAAGTTTAAAAGTCCATAGTATCTGTAAATGGGTTAACAAAGAATTGACAACATCTAGAAATAGGTTTTTGTATGTGACATGATGTTTCTCACAAGTACATAAAGAAGAACAAGCTCTCTAGCTTTGGGTTCTGACAAAAGTGTGAAATGGGAGTATAATTTCAAGTAAATACAACTGCGCACAAATTAGCTATCTCTGAAAATTCACTCGGAGAAAATGCCAAATGTTTGTGGAAAGACTTGTACATATACGATAATCTGTCAGTCTTCTCACTTGTTATCAATGTCTGACCTGTATAATTATTCTCTTTGTAGCTGAAGTTTGCGTCCAACTGGAAGTTTAGTTTTTCTGTCTCAAGTTCAATGTATTGGCGACACTGCGGCTCCTGCCTTTACCTGCTGTTTTTGGCCCAGCTACTATTCTATATGAATTTTAAACTCAGATAATATTTCCCCTTATGGTTATCTGTACATACCAATAACATTACCTGTGAATGATTTTTCCTGAGTTATTTTCATTGAGTTGAGCTAATGAACTAAACATGAGTTATGTTTTATATATCTACCAAATACAAGGAAACTGCACTTTTTCCTTTTGTGGCTCAAAGGTAGCTGTATTTTTAAGTGTTTGTTAAAATAAATACTTCTGTTAGAAAAATGATTGTGCTTTCTATTTTTGAATGTATCAGAATTCCATGCTTGATATCACTACTATGATTTTATATTAGTTGTTATCCACGATATGTATTTATATTACCCTGTTTCTCAGATGGTAATAACTTATGTCTGCACATTGCAAACAAGTTTCATTCTACATATTCATGAAGGGAACTATGACATAGATGGGAAAATGTGAATATTTTAGTTCTTCCTTTTGGATTTAGGTGAACCTGGACCATCAGCCTCAGCATCACCTGGAAACTTTTTAAAATTGTAGAAACTCAGGTACCACCTCAGACCTACTGAATCTGAATTTATAGTCAAACATGATCTTTAAGTGATATGTCCCAATTTAAATCATATTGAAGTTTGACTAGCAGCTGTAAGAATTTTATTTTACCTGCAGCTTATATTAATCTGATTTATTAACAGAAGGACATAAGAGATCAAAGGTTTACAAGCATACTAAGAGTACCTTGTAAATAATATTACCTTGTAAATAGTATGAGAAGAGAATTTATACAGTAAGAAAGCTAATCCACACAGCAGAGTAGAATGTTAAGTGGTTATCCCCTGATGTGATAGAATTCTGTTATTTGATCTACTTGACAATTTTCATTCTTACTACATGTAAAGTAGGGAGTAGGTTAGAGATACATAAGAGATACTAAATTGGAGATATCTCTACAATTTATCAGAGATGGAAATTAACCACCTGAATAAAAAGACTCTTCCGGATCCAATAGTCTTATGTATTATATGAATTATGATGAATATAATAACAGCTATAGAGTTTCACTAAGAACAAAAACCTGGCTTATATTGCGTGTTTGCTGTGTGTCTGCATCAGGGTAAAGAGCAAGGTGAAGGGAGGAGATAGAAGAATACGAAAGTTGGTTCCTGATGGAGAAAGCCTCCTTACTTACATGAGTGCATGAGGCTCCTGTGGAAGAAAGAGCTGGGCTTGGAATTATTTAGGCAAAAAGTATCAGGTCAATAGCTATTCCCTGCCCTAATCCGTCTTTAGTCAACACAGTTGAGGGCTATGGTATTTGGAGAAAAATAGCCCTACATAGCGGAGAAGGGTCTGAAGAGTTTCACATATCCTACCACCTAAAAAGTTAGTTATTGTAGACATCTGTGGAATCATCTTAGAAAAGAAAAGCATATTGTATGAAAGGCTTGAACATCTTTACCTAGGGATCCAGGCTCTGAAAACCTTCTCTTTCCCAGAACCTGTTTGAAATATCAACGTATGTTAGTGTTGCATATTTCCTCATAGATGTCCGAATAGTCCTTTAGAAACAATAGCCCTACGAGTTTGTGAAAGTAAATCTGTGCTGACTACTAATTTAGGAGTTTCACTTTACATATTCTCCTTTGCCTTTCCTTTTGGTCCTGCCAAAACCACATGCTCAGCTTGTTTAGACAAAGTATGAGGCAGCCGCAGGGGCACCAGTGGAGTAACAAATAAGTAGGGTCATTTGGCCACACATTTTTCCCACAAATGACCTCATGTTGGAATGTGTCACTTTGTTGTATTATTTATGTTTCTGTTATACTTAAGAATATTCATCTTTTCTAATAAAGGAAAAAAAATAACAAGGATCTGTGAAATAAAGCAGAAAAAGCATGGAAGGAAAGGACTAGTTTAATACATTACATCTGAGGTTGAGCACTTGATGACATTTGGTAGGGATAAAATTATATATGAGCTACTAAAAGTGCATAATACGCTACATTTATGTGGCCATGGAACTATCCCACTGCCACCTCTGCCAGCAACATGCTGAAAACAATACAGCTGTTCAGCAGGTCACGGGTGACACCCCCCCACCCCCGTAGCTGCATGTATGCATGCATTTGCCCCCATTTCTCTCCAAAACAACCAGGGTGAATTTAGAAGCAAGGCACCTTTATATTTTGAACTGTTTTGTTCACACTCCAATTCTGGTCTCAGTAATTTCACCCTTAAGAAATAAACCTGATGGGAGAGAGGACATTTGAATGTCATACACTTCAGGATTTAGATATAGAAGAACTTTCAACATGCTTTATATCCTGTCCTAAGTTTGTATGCCTATTGCTTCTCTCTGCCCTCACTTTTCATTGTGTACTAAAAGTTGATTAATAAATTAAGCTATTTGAACATTCTAAGTTCTCTGAGATTCTCTCTCCCAGGACCTCTGGGCTGCCTGGTAGTATACTAGGAGGATGCCATGCACAACTCTATGGTTTTTATATTGGGATCAAAAACAGGGCTTCTTATTATAACTCTGCATGCAAAATATGTAGAAGTGCTCAAGAAACTAAGTTAACAATTATAAATCTCATATGCAGTATAAGGCCCAGAAGGCAAATAAGTATGTGAGGTCTAAGGAGTTAGTGAACTTGCACTTATGTTGGCAGCACTGTACAAACAACACAGTAAGGTTTCATGACCTCGGGATATCAATGTTTCATACTGTGTTCATGTTGATGTGTGATGATGTCTTGTTGACTGTCATCCCTTATTGTTGCATGAATAAACTTTAAATTTATGGTTAAACTTGGCAAGAGTAGAAGTGAAATCAGGGACATGTTAGTTTAGGTGTATGAATGGTTTGTTTTTCGTAGGGGAGAGAAAGCACCATGATGAAGAGAGGTCAGGCAGGCAATAACAAGCAGAACTGATGAAAACATTGTCAAAATTTGTGAATGTGTATGTCAAAATCATTGTCTGATTGTGAAAAGTGTAACAGACCAAGTAAACATTAATAGAGAAACGGAAAAATCTTAACTGAAAATCCTGGGATGAGAAAAGTCTGCACAAAATGGTCCCAATGGAGCTCATCAATGAACAAAAGCAAAGGGGAGTTGAAGTTTGTCAAGGTGTTTTGGAGGGGAAAGCTGATGTATGGAGCTATGTTATCACTGGTGATGAAACACAGGTGTAC